AAGAGCGGTGATCTACGTGCAAAAGCCAGGAATCTCTTGAAGTATCCATCATGAAAACCTATGTCTCTCTCAAGTACTGAGGAAAAGCTAGACAACTGAATTCCAGAAAGTGTTAGGCAACCATACTGATACCTATGGAAGCTCTCTTCCTTATCTCTGACCTTTATGCCTTAATAAAAGACTTTTTTTGTTATACAGCTGTAACACTATTATGTATGGACCTATAAGTTCAGCTACTTAACTTCAGAATGATTATTGTGGAATATTTACTGACACTCTCAAGAGCCCTACAATGAAATATACTAAGTCCTGAATTTCTCTAAATCTGCAGAGAAATGACTGTCATGCACCTGTCTACCTGGGAGCTAGTTCTAAAATCTACTAGAGCTCAGTCATTGCAATACAGGAGGAGAAGAGATAGACCAGTTAGCCCTGAACAGCAGGCTTTATTACAACTGTTGAAAAGACAACAAGGTGTAAAATAGGAACTAAAATTCTGTGGTAATAGCGATTTTAACATTTCTCTTAAATCGCTTTCAGCTTTATGCATTTCAGCAACGAAAGTAACTGCATCTCTACCCTCCCTCAACTTTATGTATTGCTTTACATAGTGCTTTCGCTCTGCTGCTAAGGGTTTCAATGTATAATCAGTATGTAAGGAAAACAGGTAAACAAGCATGGAACGTGTGACAATGACTTTAAGAGAATTATAGGTCACTCATGTAAGCACTTCCTCTAATGCAGGAAGACAGACCAACTACTACTCGCCACTCTTCTGATGTGGATCAAATCATCCTGTACCTCACACCGATCCTGCAACTGCCAAGACAAAACATACAGTCATAGTACAGAACTACTTCACTTTACACAGAACTACTGTACATATTTTCTTTCAGAAAGTACGGAAAGGAGGAAAACTGACTTACTCCACAGATCTTGCAGTTGAAGATTATTCTAACCGAGTAGACACATGCCTGACCGGCTCACGGGCACTGAAACCTGCCTACGTAAACATGATTCTTCCACACTGTTTATCCTTTCAACAATTTACTTCTCAGGACTCTTTCCTAATTAAGCCTTACTCTGTTCATAACCTGCTTTGTGACTTGTCAAGAATTTTGACTTTGGCCTTCTGTAATTCAGATTAAGTTTAGATCCAATCTTGCTCTGATTGTAAAGTATAATTTAAAGTTATGCCATTAAAAAAAAAAAGATTTCAAGTGGGTTGTTCTTAAAGTTTAGAAGAAAAGAGCAGCTCAGAGCACTGACTACTTGTCCATTTAAGCCATTTTTAAGTCTCGGACATTACGAAACCACGCTACCATGCCAGCAATACTGCAGGCAGGTCAAAGAAAGAGCACACCAATGCACGAAGGCAAGATGCAATGAACTTTAAAACATACCTGACCTTTCAAAGGGACATAAACTCTGTTTAAAAACTGCTGACCTACGAAGGTTACTACACCACCTTAGGTCCAATGGCAATTCAGGCAGTAGTACCTGCCTTTTCTAGCCTCTGGCTGAGAGCCGCCTTTTGGGCCTCCTCTAGATATGCAAAACAGGCAAGCTCTCTGCCAGAGGGCTATGATGGAAGGATTAAAATGGGTAGAAAAGGGTCTAAGCAGCACAAATACAACCATGGGAGAATCCTATTGCCTACAAGTGACTGAGCCATGCCTGTGCACATGCCAATCCTCCATGAGTTCACAAAAAGTGTTGCATAGAGCTAAAAATATAGTGGTTTGTCAGACTGTAAGAAGCCTCCTACAGCCAGATACCTAAAATGCTGGCAACACTAAATGTCGTAGTCAACTTTCCATCTGCTTTTTTTTTTTAATTGACTTGTTTCTTAAAAATTGATAGCAATCCTACTTCAGTAACTTGAACTGTGCAGCTTTTTCAATTGCTCTGCATGCACTCAATACATGGCTTAGGTTTCAAAAGCTAAGAAGGCTTACTCTATTAAAACTACATCTTGTATTTTGACCTTCTTCCTAAACTCTGTGTTTAAGATGCTTTCAGTAAGTTCTAGGTATACTTGGACTCAACGTTTTAAATGCTAGCTATAAAGAAGCAGCTTTGCGTAAATACTGCCACAAGAAGAACGAAAGCCAATACTTACAACTCCGGCATCCTTGTAAGTTTCTGCCTCTCGACAAGCTTGATCAACGATCTGGGTCAACGGAAGAGAACTTCTCGGCGTCCCTGCAAGAACAATGCTGCTTACCCCAGTGCAAGGGGAAATCAAAACCAGGCAGGGTAAGTTTTCAGTTAAGATAACTGCAGGGATTAGCATAGTGAAATAGGCAGGAACAGGTAAACTTGCTAAAAGGCTGCTGTGTCTCCTTGTGGCATGCCTTAACGGCATCTCTTTCCCTTATCCCCTCTCGCGTTTCAGCTCCTAAAACCAAGTCCTCAACCTTGAGGAACATCCACTATAATCTCTCATTGCACCCAATCTGCCTTTAGCTTGTCATTGCTGTACTTATTACTGCTAATCCTTCATCAGTGATGCTCATGCAACATAACCTAGGGCAAGGGCAGACCACTGGCTCTGCAGAACACCTGCACGAAACACGAGCTGACTTTAAGATTGTTTGAACTATATTAAAACTCTAACTTGCAAGGCTGGTAGCGTCTGATCTTCAGCTACTCCTGAAGTAAGAACTTCCTGACAGGAAGGAACGCTCAGCACGGGTTTTGCTTGAAAAAAGCAAAAGTTTTCCTCAAGATAATTCTGAAGTCTTTTCTGACCACGTGGGCTCCTAAAGCCAGGTACCTGGAGCCTGAGATCTGCACTCGGAACAGCTCCTCTGGCAGTCTTTAGCCCGACTTAACCCGACATGGCGCGGTGCAAGCTGGCCGCGGTGCTCGGAAGCTGCTTCGGGGAAGGGGAAGGCGCGGGGCAGGGC